CCTCAAAGGATGGCCATAGCAAATCCTGCCTGAAGAAATTTGCTAAGAAAAACCCTCGGACTCTGGAGACCAAGGTTCGAATCCCGGCCATGGAAACCCACTGGGTGACCCTGACCCAGTCACACTCTCTCAGCCTCAGATGATGGAAAAGGTAAACCCTGTCTGAAGAAGCTTGCTCAGAAAACCCTCTGATTCTGGAGACCAGGGTTCAAATCCCAGCTCCGCCATGGAAACACACTGGGTGACCCTGGCCAAGTCACACTCTCTCAGCCTCAGATGATGGAAAAGGTAAACCCTGGGCAAGAAACTTGCCAAGAAAAACCCTCTGACTCTGGAGACCAGGGTTCGAATCTCAGCTCAGCCGTGGAAACCCCACTGAGGAAACTCTGTCTGAAGAAACTTGCCAAGAAAAGCCCTCTGACTCTGGAAACCAGGGTTTGCATCCCGGCCATGGAAACCCACTGGGTGACCCTGGCCAAGTCACACTCTCTCAGCCTCAAATGATGGCCATAGCAAACATCATTCTGAAGAAGATTTTAATATACGTATTATCTGTTTTTACAGTTTTGTATTTTAAGTGCATAACTTGCTTAATTTTGTATAGTTTATATTTTATGACTTTTAGATTGTATGCCATTGGCAGGTTTTGTGCTGTTTTGATGATTCTTGTAAAGTGCCATGCAAATTTATGGTGCTATATAAATATACATTAATAAATAATAAAAGAAAATCCTGTGACTCTGGAGGCCAGGGTATGAATCCTGACAGCCTTGGAAACACACAGGGGTGGCCATGGGCAAGTCACACTCTCTCAGCCTCAGAGGATGGCAATGGCAAAACCCCTTTGAAGAAATTTGCCAGGAAAACTCTGTAATAGGTTTGCCTTAGGGTCACCATAAGTCAGAAATAACTTGATGTCAGCACACAGTCTGGAAAATCACTCTGCAAAAGGGGTTTTGCACAGGGTGCCCAGCTAACCTAATAACCGCAAAGGAGGGCAAGGCACTATGAAAATGTACGATGTTTGAAACAAGTGTAAGACATAACAAAATAAAAGCTAAAAACATTCATAAAAATGTAAATTCATGTTTCCTAGTCATGCTTCTAATGGAGGACATTGTGGAATTCCTCCTGGACAGAAGGCTGAAATGTAGGATATGCCCTGGAAAAAGGCAGACATCTGATCATTGATCTCACAGCACCTTTGAGGCTTAATGGTTCCCAAACTTTGATCCTCCAGATGTTTTGAATTTCAACTCCCAGAAGTCTCTGCCAGCTTGGCCAACAGTCAGGAATTCTGGGAGATGAAGTCCAAAAATCTAACCATTAAAGTTTGGGAATCACTGGAAGAAGCTGGAAGCTTGAGCTTCCCTTGATTTTCATGTTGTTTCCCTTTCTGCCAACACATCTGAAAAACAACACGCATTTGCGGGTATTTAGTGGATTTTAAAATCCCGTTTCTGCATGGGATTTGCCTCCGTGTGCCCCCGTGTGATAAGCTCCTAGGGAGTTTAACCCGAACAGATAATAATAAAAACCCGCAAATGCAAGTCGTTTCTCAGATGATATTTACATGAAAGAGAAATAATGTGAACATAACCCAAACAGAAAGCCAACAAAACCTGCTCCTTTTTACTTTCGAAAAATTCAGAAAGTAGAAAGGAGTGGTTTTTGTCAACTTTCCGTTCAGGTTAGGCTTGATTTCAGGAGTATCACAAAGGGAGTGCAAGGGGTGCGGACCACACCAAGTGACACCTTAAGAGGGGTAACACCACTGCTCTCCAAACATCTGCTTTTGAACAGAAACGGGCTGTGCCATTCGCCTTGTGTGCCTTCAAGTTGTTTCTGACTTGTGAGGACCATAACGCAAACCCATCACACGGTTTTCTTGGCAAGATTGGTTGAGAGGAGATTTGCCACTGCTTTCCCCTGAGGTTGAGAGAGTGTGACTTGCCCAAGGTCACCCAGTGGGTTTCATGGCCAAGCTAAGAATCAACCTCCAGTGTCATCATCCGATACTCAAACCACTGTCACGCTGGCATTCACCTGCATCCCTTTAAAATGCTGAAGAGATTATGCGAGTGGGGCAAAGCTCAGTGGAAGGAGCAAGGAGAAGGCTGCAGGGTTGTTTTTTTAATTTATTTTTTTAATTTTTAAACAAAAAATTATTTTTAAATGATTTTTTTCTTTTAAATTTTTCTTTAAAAACATCACTTCTTACCAAATTTTTAATTTAACCACATGACACTATGCACATGTAAACACATTTAAGCTGTGCATATGATATTGTAATTTAAAGGTATAATTTCAATTTTGCTAGTTGTTTGTGTCACAACTATTACCATTACATTCAGTGATATATGGGAATTATGAGTTATGAGTAGCATTAGTACAGAAAACATAACTAAGGGTATGATGTGGGAGGAGCTCAGTGGAGGGTGACATCATGAGTTACCGCACTTGGTGATGCCAATCCTACAATGCCACATTTTTGCCTACTTCCGCAGATGCCAGTGGTTCCCTTTCTGGGAGAAAGCCAGCGTAGAAATGAAATAGATATAAATAAATAAATAAATACAGTGGTCCCTCCACATTCACTAGGGTTAGGGGTGAAGGACCCCATGAATGTGGAAAAACCCCAAATAAAAGAACACTATTCTTTTTACCTAAGAACACCTCTTTGGGAATCTCCAAGTCCACCAGTGCAACTCTATGGTCAACATCTGCCAGAGGTTGATCATAGAATCATGCTGGAGGGCCTACAAATGCCTAGAAAAGTATTTTTTCTAGGAATGTCTAGTTTCTCCAGCATAACTCTATGGTCAACCTCTGGCAGAGTTGCCCTGGAAGACCTAGAGATTCCTAGAGAGAACATATTAATCAAAACTACAAATAATCAAATCTACAAAAGTCAAAGCCACAAATATGGAGGGACAGCTGTATCCCTTTGCATGCTGATACTTGGTGCAGGACGTCCGAAGATGTGGTGCAAGACGTCAAGGGTTTTGTCCCCCAGTGTTCATGGGGTCAGTGCCATATTTGCACCTACTGACTACAACTGTTTCTGTCTTTCCTGGGAACTTGCTGTAGATCAGCCACTGACAGCTCATGGACCAGCACCAGTCAACAAACCACTATTCTGAGGAGTGTTGCTGTGCAAGACAATCTGGGTGATTTGGTGTGGCCCAAAGTTTTGGTAGACTTGGGGTCCTTTCACACTATGAAATAACCCGGTTTGGAAATCAGGTTATTTCCCTGTTGTTCAGACTTGATTGTACTCGGTGCAGTTTGCGGGGGGGGGGGGGGGAACAGGACAGGACCAAAAAGCCCATTTAAACTGGTGCATTTGGCACCGGATCCCTTAGCGGTTCTTTTTTTAAGAACTGCAATGATCCGCATTTCTGATAGTGTGAGTAAGTATCAGATCAATTTGGATCGCACAGTCACCCTTCAGGAAATGGAGGTGCCTCCATGTTAATCTGGAATGGTGTCAAATGAGAACTTCAGACCGGATTTAAATGCCAGGGAGAGATTTGCTGCCTCAAAACGTAGTGGGAATGGTGAATCGATTTTGAATCGATTCACAGATGCAAATTTCTCCATGCAAAAAAACTAAGTGTGAATGGGCTCTTGGTCTACTTCCAGTGGGCAACAGTTCACTCCATGCATCTGAGGAAGTAGACCAAGTTATGAAAGCATATGCTACAACTTCTTTAGATCAGTCAGTTTCAAAGGTGCTACAAGATCCTTTTGCATAGTGATATCCCAGCCTAACACAGCTTTGTCTCTGCATTATACAGGAATGGATGCTGCTCACCATGATTTAGCCTTCTCCAACTGGTGCTCTCCATATGTGCTAGACTAAAACTCCAAGACATCTGGAGGATGCCAGGTTACGGAAGGCTAAACCATGGTTAACAACACCCTGTATAATGCAGAGACAAAGCTTTGTTAGTCTGGGATATCAGTATGCAAAGGGATCTTATAGCACCTTTGAGACTGGGTGAACGAAATAAGTTGTAGCATATCTTTTTGTAAAGTCCTGTATGTAAAGATACATCTACGTGGTTACTTCCATGTATAGGACTGAAACCTGACTATTCCTACATGGACTCTTGGAAATACATTTTCAGAAATAGAGTGTCCATTTTATGATAATGGAACTGAAGTTGACAAACCCAAAATGGAACAAACAAGATGTTAAACACACTTCTAAAGCTCATGTCACCATCCATGGTAACCATACTACAAAGTTACATCCAACTCTCACTTTTAGATCAGAATTATCCTTCAGTTCTGCCCAACTACCACTCCTCTCTATCTGTCCTGTGAATACATACCTTTTCCAGTATCAGGATTTCCCACTCTAGTTCTGATCTGAAATCAGGTATTTATTTCCAGTTTGGGCAGAGATATGGTGACATTGATGCTCTGAAAAGAAGAAGGTGGTTGTACTGGGCAACAGTTGCTAGGCAACGAGTTTAGAATGATGCTCCTTCAAACTTAACACAACTGAGAATCAGTTTGACTCTTAATGATTCTCTTTCAACATAAGCACATACAAGTTGCAGTTATTCCTTGTGGCCCAAAGCTAAATAGCATTCTTAAGAAATCCCTACGAAGCAGGAATTCAACAGCATTGCCTGGTATATCTCTGTTTCGGAAGCCTTTTAACCATTCTATTCATCTAAAATAATAGACTTGTCACCTTTCACACTACAGTTCCAGAATCTTCAGGAACTAAATTTTATTTATTTATTTATTTATTTATTTTATATCCTTCCTTTCTCCCAATATGGGACCCAAACTTATAATTTAAGTTAAATAAAATATAACTAAAACAATATTGTTGTGTGCCTCCAAGTCATTACTGAGTTATGGCAACCCTAAGGTGAACCTATCAGAGGGGTTTCTTGGCAAATTTCTTCAGAGAGGGGTTGCCATTGTCATCCTCTGAGGCTCAGAGTGTGACTTGCACAAAGTCACCCAATGGGTTTTTATGCTCAAGCAGGGAATCGAACCCTGATCTCCAGAGGCATAGTCCAACATTCAAACCACTACATCACGTTTGCTCTCTAACTAAAACAATATACAATATGTATATTAAAACTATTAAACAATCCAATTAAAACACGCTAAAACAGTGAAAAACACATTCAGAACAAAGTTAAAGATACAACACACCACTTTAAACAAAATCCTTTCTACCCCAACCACTTAAAAGGCCTGCTTAAATAAAAAAAAGTCTGTGCCTGCTGGTGAAAAAAGATCAGAGAAAAAGCCAATTGAGCCTCCCTTGGGAGAAAGTTTCATCGTTTAAGAGCAGCCACTTGTGAGCTCCATGTATAGGATTGAGAGAAATACTTTGTTACCCAAAAACCTAGGGTTCCAATAGGGCACCCACAAATTGAATTCAATGGGGAAATTAATTTAGCTTAAGAGTAACTATAGCTGGGACAGAAGCCTATATTTACTGGTTTCAAAAACTAGAACTCCAGAGTGAAACTTAATTTTATTATCTCAACAAGAGGAATGTCAACACACACACACACAAACTAAGATATAAAAAGATGGTAGTGGATAGCAATTAAAGGATTGCAATGAGCAATGCTTACCAGTTCCAGAAGCCAGCCTCCAATATGGGGGAAAGCTGGGAGCTGAATCGGGCTCAGTATGCTGCTTTGTGGTGTAGTCAAAAATACTAAGGGGCCAAGTTTGAATCTGACAGAGTTTCTGCCTGGACCAAAATGGGAGTGCCCAGTCAGGGGTATTTATGGGCCAAATTTGACTTGAGGCAGTTGATTTTCCAGGAATCCCAGAAACAAGGGTTCCCAGCTGGTTGTAACTTCAGAGTTACAAAACTATTATTTTTGGTTGATGGCAGTGACATTGATTTAATCAAGCAGTGATAAGATAGGACAACTCCAAGGAATTTGAGATAGGATGAGGTGTTAGAAAAAATCATGGGGGCTAGCAGAGAGAAAATGGCTTACTGCTTTAGGCTGACAGACTTTTTTGTCTTTGACCTTCAAGAGGACATGCACATGGCAGGGGGTTGGGAAGCAGCAATCTTCACAGCCATTAAGTTACATGGGTCCTTTACATATGCCCTCAGGTCATATGTGACCACTTATGAGAAGTTCACTTAAAGATCATCATGACCTTTCCAAGTTCATGCTTTTTGGCCTTTCTGTAACTGCTATTATAACAAAATGTACCAAATAGTTGTACTCCAAAATAATGTGGGTTATGCAGGGTGTGGTAACAACTTCCACTGAAAATTGTAAGACTTGGGCAGGCTCATAAATCTTGGAGGGGAGTCTATGTATATGCAGTAGCAGTCCAAGATGATTTGTGGCCTGAACAAAACAGAATACCTACCCATTGCACATATAGGTGTGAACTGGACTGGCAGTTGAATTTTACTAAAGTACTGGTGATGAGATGGTGATCTTTAGGTGGGAACAGATGAGAAGCATAAGCAGGGGATGGCACTGAGGATCCTCTCTGCAGGACTCAGGACTCTGCATGATGCAACAGGACTCAAGCCAAAAGGCCAATCAGATGTTGATATGCTCAGAAGTGAAAGGAGTGTCTGAGGCTGGACAGCACGTATTGTAGGAAAATGGAACACAAGAACCATCAATCAGGGGACTCTAGACATTGTAAAACAAGAAATCGAATGCACAAACACTGCAGTACTTGGAGCGAGTGAGCTAAAATGGACAGAAATGGGACATTTTCAGTCAGATGATTACTCAGTGTTTTACTCAGGAAATGAAAATCTAAGATGAAATGGAGTGGCTTTAATAGTGAGGAGAGATGGAGTAAAAACAGTCAAGGAATATAATGCAAAGTCAGACTCAATAATATCAATAAGACTTCTAGGAGAACCCATCAATATAACCATAATCCAAGTTTTTGCTGTAGCCACTGAGGCAGAAGAGGAAGAAATTGAAAAATTATACACTGGAGTCTAGGAGGAAATTGATCACACACCAAGCAGGACATGTTGGTAATCACAGCAATTTGAACACAGAATAAAATAGAATTTTAGGCCAGCACAAATTTGAATGCAAAAACAGGAAACAGAGCAGAACCAAACATCGCTGGAGAATTTGGCCTAGGATCAAGACACAAAGCAGGAGAGTGACTAACTGAATTTTGTGATCTTGGTGGAGTTGGCTCAAACACAAATCAGAGGGCCTTTTCGAGTCCATTCGTAAGACAACCAGATTGTTGATGCCGTCCACTTTGAAAAAAGTTGCGAGGAGACAGGCAATCCCTCCCTCAATACTGTGCAATAAACAAACAGTCTAGGAGAGGTATGGAAAGCTGAAGTTCTGTTCATATAGAAGGCCTATGCCCTCATACTTCAAGGCTAATGCCTCTCAGTCTGAAGTGGGATTCTTAAATAGGGAAAGCAACATAATGTCCTGGTTAAGATGGAAAGATGACACCATCTTTATTAAGAAGGTGATGTTGGCTCTCATCACAACTCCGTCTGGATGAAACCGAAGATAATGGGTCATCCAGCCGCAAGTCACAAAGTTTGCCAGCTCTCCTAGCTATCACAATGGCAACAGGAAAGGCAATCTTCCACAACAGCAGTCACAGACCACATGTTGCCATTGTCTTGAAGGGTCTCCTGCAGAGCTGGGCAAACACAAAGTCCAAAGCTTGCTTGGTGGGAGGATAAAGATATTTGCATCCTTTTAAAAACCTTTTAACTAAAGGATGTGTAAAACAAGAAAGCTTACCAAGAAACTGCAAATATGCTGATATAGCGGTTAAGTAACAATGAATCAAAGACAAACACTGGGCTTGATTCAACAAAGAGAATATAAAGTCTAACACATATGCGATGATAGCATGATTTGGATTAACTGACTGTGGAAATAAGAAATCAGCAAACTTCTTCCACTTGTATTCATGGGACTGTCTGGTAGAAGGTCGATGAGCAGCATCAGTAATCTCCCTCACCACAACTGGTAGGGCAGGGGTAGGCAACCTAAGGCCCAGGGG